TGCCGTGGGTTCAACTGCCACATATACCACCAAGTTTTTCTCAATCGAGTCAAATGATTTATTCAAATCCGCTGAAAACCGATATCTGAAAAAAAAACTAATAGTAAATAAGTTTGAGTAAGAGAGTGATGTGGAGATACCCAGTCATACTCCAGCAAGAGCTACAAGGGAAAGCGCACAAAACAATGATTACTCTGTGCAGCCTGGTTCTTGAGCACGAAACGTTCTACAGTCTCCCCTTGGCTGCAATTTAACTTTATTGACTTTTAATGAGGATATATCGGGCCATAAATCAAACTGCAAACCAGTCAACTTACTTCCTGGTTGTAATTCAAGGGAATAAGAAGTACATGGTACGTTAGACACACGCTAAATGGACTAGACCCCAGCTCTTCCGGAAAGCAAGATTTAAACCTGTGATTTGACAAAAAGGAACGGAGATGGACCTAGGCCCACCTTCATCGGAAAGCAAACTTTTTTTTCTGGTTGCCAAATCCGTTGACTTCGTGCAGCCCTTTACTACCGTCTGTTGTCGGAGTTAAATTTAATGGAGACGTAGGTGTTGTTTTTTTCTATTGGCGGTTCAAATGGACACTCAATTTAGTTTCGAAACTGTCAACTGGCTACGACCCTGGGATCGAGAGGAGCACGAAAGTGACCAAATGCCAACAGCTACTTTGGACAGAATGCGCTTGACGAGGATGCACCGACTAAAAGGCCGAATTTTGCCAAACAAAAAATGTAGGAGGTATAGTAGAGCTTGTCTGACTTCTAGGAATCAAATCACCCATATGGATAGAAAACCTTGGGAAACGCACACGATAAGTTCCCAAGAGTTGGGAATGCTGCCATTCTCATGACGAGTCAGTACCCCCAAAAGGCGTCGCGAATCTACCTGGCAGCCAGCCAGCATGTCTGCTCAATTCCGACTGGTTCATGGTCCAGACTATGTCTCTTACGTCCCCCCTTAAGTACATTCAGCCTTTGCGTGAGAAGGACTTGCACCCACGTGTTTTGTCTGAATACACGTTCTCCCTCTGGCCGACTGGTCTTCTTTTTTTCGCTCTCTCTCTACCGGGCTTGGGGGACCGGATTCGGCTGGGAACCGTTCGTGCTAATTACTAGTGCCAGGCGCGGGTCATAACAGGTTCAAAATCAGTTCGGTCAGAAATACTTGAATTGTCGATATGAGGCGGAGGGAAGCCTGTTCCCAGTTCAGGGTGCTTAGTAGGGTGAAGAGAAACATACTGCACTCAGCCCTATGAATTTTAAGTCAACGCTTCGCACGAGATCTGTGTGACATCGAGCCACATCACTAAGAGAGCGTATATACGATTGCAGACTTGGGGGCACCAATCGCGTCACGCGCGACGTGACCACGCCGGTAGCGTGCAAGGGTGTACACACAGCTGGCTAGAACTAGAAGACAAACGCACCTGGGGGCAGGTTATTGACG